TCTATTACCCCTTTCTCTGTTTGTTCTAATAATGTTATAATTTTTTAAATAAAGCGTATGTTTTTTGTTTAGTTTAGTTTCGTTAATGAGTAATATGTCTGGGTTTTTATTCTTAATCAGTTCTAATAATAGAATTCTTTTATATAATTACTAATTATAGAATTTACGCTTAACACTATAATTTTATATTTATTAATAGTATGAACGAGCTGATCCATAAAGTTAGTTTCTAATATTAAGTAATTTCTCAATTAGATTAGCTAATGAATCTAATCTACTATTAATAAATTTAATTGCATTCTCGAGCTTGTCTAATCTCGGGTGAATCTGTAAAGTGATGAAATTGGAGTTAGTGCTATTATATGCATTACTATCCATGTCGTTTATTTGCGCGTCCAAATGAATGCGATTGTTAATATCTCCGTCTGATTTACCTTTAACTGATTGTGAGTCGGCGAATGTTATGTTGGGCGAAACTAATCTATTAATAGAATCAATTTTTCTTTCTTTAGTTTGCTTCAAGTTAGCTTGTTTAATAGTTATTCTATTTTTGAATTCTGTTAGTTTGGGACAACCTCTGTATGAAGCTGGATGACCAGTACTATTACAGTTTATACAATAAAGATCTTTAACGCTATTAAGAGAGGCTTTACATTCACCTGGATTGTGTTCCTCTTTACATTTAATGCACCCATATTGCAGATTGCAGTTGGTTACTGCATGACCTATCCTTTGCATCTTTTACATTGTATGGTATCTTTCCTCTTCAGCTTTTCCCAGGCGATTATCAGATGAAACAGAGTTCTTATCTTCTTCAATTGGCTGGTGTTACTCCCCGCTGCAATCTGAACTAAGAAGATTGGCAGTGTCCTACTTTCGTTGCTAGACCTCTTTGTCGTAAACCTAGCGACTTTCTGGAAGATGATTTCTTGGATCCCTTGTTGTAGCAGTCTGGATCGTGAGCCAACTGCCTTACGTGGTAGACTACTTCTTAATTTGATGTAAGTGTTATATATAATCTACATATGTCATAACCAGCGCAAATATATAATTTTTAAAAAATTATCTTAAGAAACGAATTCAGTTTAAAAAGAGTAATAAAATTTTGAATTGGACGTATGATATAATATTTCTTAATGTCGGGTGAATGTCAGAATCCAGTGCCGGGTTATTACAAAATTTTGTGTTTGTAAATAAAAAAAAAAGGATAAAGAATTTTACTTTATATACCCCAAGGGGCCTTAAAGGGCGTTTTGAAGGGACGTACCCAACCCTAACCTCCAATTCATCCACTACTTTACTGTTTCCTCTTTTGGACCAACGGTTTAACGTCTCTTCCGAAAGACGGAGCCCAGTTTTCTCCGCATCTTGCACGGAGGGGTTTTTTCGGAAAAAAACTTTTCCATGATTCATGGCTCTAGTGGACTCGAACCTGGTTCCTCAGATTACGAGTCTGGCGCTCTACCACTAGACCACACCGCCGCCCTTGTGTTCGTAAATATATTTATAAAACATATATAAGGATATTAAAACATTCTTATCAATTCCTTACAAGGGTCTTATTAGATAAAAATAAGGAAACCTTTCTTATGGAATCCCTAATAAATAATGATCGGGACCTCATTAAGTTAAAATAAGGAAACCTTTCTTATGGCATCCCTAATAACTAATGATCGGGGCCTTATGTTATGTAAGGCCATCCCTAACAAATTTCTAGACGGGATATTGCACTTATAGAAACGTTCAATGCAAATTTTTCGCGAATATTTGAATATTACATCGTACCACTTATCTATTAGTAAAAGATAAATAGTGTAAGTACTAAAACATTTAACCCTTACGGTACACTTTGAAAAGGTTTTTAAAAAAAAAACGTACTAACGCATTGTCACTCATCAACTGAAAAATGAGTATTGAAAACGGACAACCTACTTCGTCCTCATCCTTGTGAGTAAAAAAGGAACGTATTAACGTGTTGTCACTCATCGATTGAAAAACGAGTATTCAAAACGGACAATCTACTCAAAAATACTCATACGCATACTCGCGTATACTTATCATGTTCTTTCGCAGTAGACTGCGCGTGCTTGAGAGTGCAAGAAACGGACACAAAAATGATAAAACGGGCTAAAAACGATCTATATGAGGTGTAAAAGCGGTGAAATATTTTTGTAAGGGTGTGCGCAAAAGAACTGTGTACAATGTAACATACGTTTATTTATTTAAATAAGTTAATAATATGTGTTGTGTCCAAAAGCAACGGTGTCCAATTAAACTGTGCGCAAATGAAATGTGTCCAATCGAACGGTGCGCAACTTTATGTGTCTAATAGCACTGTGTGCAATTGCAACGTGCGCAATTGTACTATGCGTGAACTAAACCTTTCCGAAGCACGGATTGGCGGGCTCGCGGGCTCGCAAAATACGGCGCGGGGATACGTCGACGGTTGGCTCGAGAGCGCGTATTTGTGCGCGACGGTTTGTCGAGCGACGGAGACGGAATCGTGCGGCTATAAGACCCTTAGCCAGTATAGAGAGCGACTCTTTATACTGGGGCGCAACGGTTCGTCAGGTAGGAGGCTGTACCGGGTGGCCAAGACCCTTGGCGAGAGTAGAGAGTAACTCTCTACCCCGGTTCGCGGCGGTACAGCGTGCTGGAGAAGTCGGGCGGCTGTGATCCTCTTGAGTCTAGAGAGCGACTCCCTAGAGTGCAGCGCGGCGATAACAGAGGATAGCGGTCTGGATTGAGTCGACCATCAAGATACGTCACTTGACGGAGCCAGAGAGTGACTCTCTACCCTCTGATTGATTTGATTTAGCAGGATTTCGGGATCCGAGAGCAGCGGAGAATTGGTCAGATCGATTGCTGGCTCACGGCGAAATCTAATCTTCGTCAAAAAGACGCAAGTATATATACCGCTCGGCGCCGTTAGGTGGCGGCGGAGGTATCGGCGACGGTAATTGCGCGCATCGGGGTGGATCGGCGGCGCGCGGCACTGTGGCGCGGTCGGATATTCGGGTACCCCGACACCGCAATCGCGTTCGGCGGCTCTCGGCCGTTTTCGGCACCGCTCGGCGTTCCGAGTCGGTTGCTGCGGTAAGTCCTTTCGAGGACTTATCGGACGCGAAATGGAACGATTAAAAATGGGCACACCGTGCTTTTCCTCGCCCGACGGATGTTTGGCCGGGCGGCATCCGGCTGGTGTTCGCCGGGAACGATGCGTTTCGGGACGCATCGTTACAATAGAATGTATGAAATCAACAAGGGAAATGTTTAGGAGATATTGAGTACTGTTTACAAATACAAACTAGATATAATCATTTCGAGCACTTTCTATGAAGATCAGCTGTAAATTACTGGCGTACAAAAGTGATTATAACTCGGAAACAAGATCACATTTTTATTTTGTTTAACTTGACACTGAACTTTCCACTTACTAGAAAACACCCTGTATATAACTTCAAGGTTTATAACTCGACAAGTATTTAATAAAAAAATATTACCTATACATAGTATTTTAAATTGCTCTCAAAATAAGCTATAAGAAAATGTAATTAAAAATGTTTTTATTTTTAGAAATTTAAATTTTATTTTTTAAGACATTTTCAAATTTTCAAACATTGTTTATGATAGTTCTAACTTCCGCAAATTATGATTTATTGGTCTAATTTTTCTTAAAGAAATAAAGTATCATTGAAGAATGGTCGGTATAGTATTTGGTGATAGGTAATTGGTAAAAGAATTTATTTCTTATAATTTTTTTTTTAATTTTTGTTTAATTTTTTGATGACATAAGTTTTCTCTTCAATTCCTTCAATTAAAACCCCCATTTTTTATTACATATTCTTATAGCTTAATTCGAGAGCTTTTCAAAACATAATAAAGTATATTTTTTCATTAAGTACTCTTTGAGTTATGAGTGTGTACATATACCTACATATATGTACACATAACTACAAACATTTTGTTATGTTTTTTTTAGACGTTTTAAAACATTCTGAACATGTTGCCCGTGAAAACTCAAACCAAATTTTTGACCCCACAATAAAGCTTCCTCTATGCTAATAAAAAAGCAAAATTTGTAAACTAGTATTATATATGAAATAAAAATTTAAATAACATATATTTCAATTATTTATAAAAACTTTCTTTTTTAATCAAATAAATAAATAAAGAAAATAAACGTATATGGTAGGCTCTGAGTAAAACAAGTTAAGAAATAATTGGCTATGAGAGCCGACGCAGGATCGAATATGCGGAAAAATTATATTTGCAGTCAAAACATTAAAACATTAAGATCAATCAAACGTTTCGGCCCTAAATCGGGCCCTCTTCAGTGACTCATATAAAAGTTAATGTGAACGCAACGACGTGGTATCGCAATGGGCTGATTACAATATCGGATATGCACGCGTACAATGGTATCGCAATCGGTTAATGCGAAACGCAAGCGCAGATGTTATGATTCGCATTTTGAAGACGTTAGGTGCGCGTTCAGATCTCTCTTCAAGTGTATGTTACGGCGCGTATGTCCGGTAAGCACCCACGTAGCATTGACAGCGGGAATCAAAGAGAGAGAGACGAAAGCAGCAAACTGTGGCCCGGCAGAACTACCGAATGCAGTAACCATTAGGGCCATTACAAATGTTAGGTCCGTCACGAGATACTTTAGTATACGGGATGACGGGAATAGGATGAGAGATCGATGCAACAGAGTACACGAAGCCGAGACAGATATATGTGTAGTTACTATAGTTTAATGTCGGACTAAATACAATAGGTCATAGCGTGACCGTGCTCGGGCGGGGACTGACTCGGGGATCGGTAGCTTGCGCCCCTCCACAGTGCGGCGCGACCACAGCGCCGGATAGCGTCGGTATCGATACCCAACATCTCCCCCCTTGGGAAGTTACCGCTGAGAGTAACTTTTAGCGGATGGATCCAAGATTAATTTTTTCGGAGCCATCCGATTACGAGCGGGTCTAGCCGGCGTCGACTGTTTATAGGAGGGTTAGGTTCCTGATGACTGGGGTCTGGGCTGCAGGGGATGCAGCCGGCTGGTGATCAACTTCCAAAGTAAGAGGCGTTTCCGGCGTGGGCGGCTGTAGGAGCGACCAGTCGTCCATAAGACTCTCGGGCCGGGTTGACGGGTCGGAACCTCTTTTCCAGATATGATTGAAATGGCGGTCGATGACTCTTCCGTCTTCAAGGCGTACAGAGTAGCGAGTTTGTGATAGTACTTTATGAATAACGCCTTGTTCTCTTTTGTCCTTGCGAGTAAGGACTATTACGCGGTCGCCCAACGTTAGGTAACGGGGTCGGGCGCCATGATGTTTCAAGAACTGTTTCTCCATGGCTAGCTGTTTCTCGGCAGAGGCTGGTGGAGCAGGCTCGTGAGTCTCAGGCTTCGGGAGCAATTTCGAGAACGGGGAGTTCATTCGACGTCCGAACAAAAGCTCTGCAGGAGACTTTCCTGAGGGCGATTCTGAGCATGGAGTGTAACGGTAGCTGTGCAGAAAATCAAACAGCTGTCTCTTCCAATTAGTCAGGTCTTTGGCGATGGCCCTTTTTACCGTGTCCACCATCCTCTCGGCCTGGCCGTTCGATTGCAGGTGGTTGACCGCAGCCAGGAGATGGGAGATCTGCATTTCCTTGCAGAAAACAGCAAATAGTTCTGATGTGAACTGTGTCCCATGGTCGGTGACGAGCACCTCTGGTGGTCCGAACCTGGAAAAGAATTCACGACACAAATCGACAGTGCGGGCTGCAGAGATCGTGGGTGTAATTGCCACGTCTAAAAACTTGGAGTAAGCGTCTACAAAAATGAGTAGATACTGCCCTTCAATTGGACCAGCGAAGTCGATGTGGACGCGTTCCATTGGTCGAGACGGAGCAGGCCATGGATCTAGTGGTACTTTGATTGGGAGTTTCTGGTTCAGCGCACAGGCGTCACATTGACGTAAAAGGTGTTCAATGTCGTCGGACATTTTCGGCCAGTACACGAATTCTCGAGCTAACTGCTTTGTCTTTCTAATGCCGGGATGGTCCTTGTGAAGAGCTGCTAGAATTGTTGGCCTGAGAACCTCTGGGATGACCACTCTGACCCCTCTGTCTGACCGAAAAGTAAGGTGTCATCAACGATACTGAGATCTTCTGAGCGTCTTTTAAAATGTTCAAGTGACTCCGAAATTTCTTTTGTCCTCCAATCTTCACTGATGGCTTGGAAAACCGAACGTAAGAGAGGATCTTCCTTTGTTGCTTTCTTCAGATTATTCCGGAGTTCCTTACCAAAAAAGTCTATTGATCGATTTTTTAACTGGAGAAGCTCCGATTCCATTGCTTGGATGCTAGCTACTTGGAGTTCCTCCGCGTTGTCACGACGAAATTTGTCGATCAAACGAGATAGGGCGTCGGCATGACCAAAATCTTGAGTGCGGATAAACTCTATTTTGAAGTCGTAGCCCATGAGTCGCAGTGCCCAACGTTTGAGCCTAGCTGCTGTAGTAGCTTTGAGTCCCTTGGTGTTCTCAGTTTGCAGTAGGGCCACGAGGGGTTTATGATCCGTTTGGAGTATAAATCTTTTTCCCCAGACGAATTTATGGAATCGTTCGACGGCTGTGACGAGCGCGAGGGCCTCTTTTTCGAGCTGGGAGTAGTTCCTTTGAGCGTCGATAAGGCTCTGCGACATATGGTAGACTGCACGCTCATGGCCGTTTGAGTCTCGTTGAAGAAGAACGGCGCCAATTCCAGTGGCACATGCATCTGCTGCCACTATCAGTGTTTTTGATGGATCGTAGTGATCCAGCAGAAGAGGGCTGAGCATGACCTTCTTGATTTGATTAAAAGCGAGATCATGAGTCTGGTCCCATGACCATGTGCGATTTTCTCGTGTGAGATCTTCAAGTGCCTGTTTCATTTCATGTAGATGAGGGATGAATTTGCCATAATGATTCACCATTCCTAGGAAGCTTTGTACCTCCGGAACCGAGATAGGCTTTGGCATGCTCGCTATGGCATTGGTTGCTTCTGGATCAGCTGATATGCCGTGCGCATTCACGATTGAGCCTAGGTATTTGATTTCTTCCAGGCCAAAGCGACATTTTTCGGCTCTGAGTCTCCATCCTCTATCTTGCAGGCGTTGGAGAGTTTTGAACAGACGCTCGTGATGCTCTTTGCGAGTACGGCCTCTGACTATGACGTCATCAAAATATGCGGACACTCCTTCGAGACCCTCGAGTGTGTTGTCCATAGCTTGTTGAAAATCAGCCGGTGCTGTTTTGAGGCCGAACGGTTCTCGAGTATACCTGTAAAGTCCAAATGGTGTTACTATAGTAGTGATCTCACGGTGATCTTTGTCAATTTCGAGCTGGAAAAATGCGTCACTAAGATCCAGTACGCTGAAATAACGATTTCCATTAAGTTTTGCATTGATGTTATCAACAGTAGGCAGGGAGTGGCTGTTGCTGATTAAAACGCTGTTGATACCTGTCGAGTAGTCCCCACATAGGCGTATCTTGCCATTCTGCTTCTTTGCGATGACGATAGGCGATGTCCAGTTTGAAGTTGCTACCGATTCAATGATGCCAAGAGATTCGAGCCGTTTCAATTCTTCGGCGAGTAGAGCTTCCATCGCATACGGAATCTGTCTACATTTTGACTGGACTGGACGAGCGTCTTTGGCAATATTAACCTTCACTTTGAAATTGTTACAAGTTCCTAAATCGTCGGCGAATAAAGTCGGAAAGTGTTGAAGGACGTCCTCAAGGTAAACGTTGTGTTGTGATGTGACCCCCTGGTCACTCTTCAGGAGGTTAGGTGTGACCCCCTGGTCACTCTTCAAGAGGTTAGGTGTGACCCCCTGGTCACTCTTCAAGAGGTTAGGCGGCTGTGCGTACATCTGATGTACGCTTGATGCCCCTGATGTCGGCGAGGTTGCGGGCTGCGAGTCTAACGCGGGACTGCCCGGATGCAGCTCGGATAACTGCGTTGACCACAAGTTAAGGCTATCGATGGAGTTAAGACCGAATAGGTTAACTCCGTTGCGCGACGCGACATTAATATAAACTTTACCTTCGCGGCCGAGTGCTCGGATTGTACAGTAGAATCTGCCGATAATGTCAAGTTCACTCCCGCCGGCGCACAGTGGGGCGAACGCCTCATTTTTCGGTCATTTGATTATAACTTCTACATTTTTCAATGAAATGACTTGAAACTTGACATAAATAATGTACAATTATTATACATTTAGTGTATAAAATCAAAATTATTTAATTAACAATTTTTCATAAAATGCATAGATATTTTTTTTTATTTTTTAAATACTTTTTAGTTTTTTTTAAAGTCGGTTTTATTTAAAAAAAAAATTTTTATTTTATACTTTTTTAGTGCTTCATTAAATTAATATAAATAATTATTATCGCATATTTCCTTACTGCTCCGTACCCTGATGTTTTAGTTGTGAGTTTTATAATAAAAAAGGAACTGTTTTTCTTGCTTCTCACATCTATTCCTTTACTTAATCATCATCTACATCATTATCGCTGAAATATAATAAACATTTTGCATCTTCAGTTAATTCTTTCTTTTTATGTCCCATAATTTTTCGCAAATTAGATATTATTGGATCTGAAGCAATTATCAAATTATTAAAAATATCTTCATTATTTTGTATTCGCGACATTTTTCGCGAATGATTTTCTCCATATTTTCTAAAATATTTATGGTTTGCTTCCAGAGCATCTTCAGATAATTGTCCTATTGGTACGATAGCATTTTTTATAATATCACTGCCATGAATCAATAATTTGTGAACTGAGACTGGCATGTAGTACCATGGGTATAATGATACAAATAATTCGGCAGTTCTAAAAGCATAGGATTCGAATTCCAACACGTTAATCCTATTATCGCTAACGATTACTTGCAACAAAACTCCAAATCTAGTTATTAAATTCTTATCTAAACCTGTAATGGCAGCTGATAATTCTGGATTAGCAAAAAATTTTCTGGCCGTGTTGCCATCATTGTATGTACCTTTTCCTTGTTTCACGAAGTCTATCAAGAGACCTGCTTTTGTTCTGAAGGCAGTCTGTATCGTGAAGAAGTAGGAATTAAATTCAGTACTTCGTTCGGAAAAGAGAATTCACAATTTAACCAACTTTCATGCTTTGTAATAAATGTGTTGTAACTGTACGAGCTAGCTACCCATTTTAACTTCAAATTCTTCGTGAAAATCATGATTTTTCTTTTCAATGCTTCCAACGCAACTTTGGGTAATTCAGTATTAATACATGATGTTATGTGGCTTATTAAAGCCTAATAATTTGATAAATCCAGATTATTTGCACGCATACAATTAAAAAGTTGACGATTTGTTCGGAAATTTTCCATTTTACGAGCGTGTTAAAGTATAATTTTCTATATATTTTATATATTCTATATATTTTTCACTGTATCCTGAAAAGGACGCAAAGTGAATTGTGTAAAGCAAAACTTTTAAAATCAAAAAGTCTTTAATCGACTACTGATCGAGAAAAACTGACGAAAAGTTCTTATCTCCGTTGTTTTTATTTCCTCCCCCTCCCCTCCTCTCCCCTCACCTCCCCACCCTCCTCTCTCTTCCCCTCCCTCCTCGAGGAAAACAATATTTTTAATAATATTTTTAACAAAACTTTCGCATTGTCAACAGCAAACGGCTCTTAATTAGCCCGCTTTCCCTACGATTGGATTTCCAATAGAGCCTCGACTTATCGCTATTATATTAATTGACATAATTAATTGTTATAAAATATGGATGTAATTATAATCATTACAAAATAGCAATATTTTAACAAATTATATATCCCCCTTCGTCTTTCTTTTATGAGAAAATAGACATCCATATTCACTCGACATGATCGAACGGCGTCCGCTGAGCTATTCGTGGACGACTTTCGACCATGTCGAGTGAACTTCGACGTCAATTTTCTCATAAACGCCGGACGTATACGGATAAACAACCTTATATGTCCAAAAACTAGACACTTTGCCCTATCAAATGGCGCAAAGCAAACCTTAATCCATTCTAATCCACAAACTTTCTTTCTGTTTGAATATTGAAGTAAGAATTTTTTAATAGTCAAATATGTCGTGTATATTTATTAATATATAATAATACTCGAATGACATAAAACTAAAATAAATATGTTTTTTGAACCCTAATAAATAAGTTCTGATAGGCATTTAACTCATATTCGCAGTTAGGTTTTCGGCAGAGTCTTTAGAAAGTAACCTATCGAATTACTAGAATTTCAGTATTCACGAAAATGTCATACTTTATCAGATCATTTTGAGGAAAGAACAAGGGATAAAATCAATTATAAGCACATTTATTTATAGTTTAGGATATATATTAACATAAAATCTCGTCAAAATTTGAATTATACGTTTTTCATTTTTTCGTCCAATATCCGGTTTTTGATAGATTCGCCCCACTGTGCGGCGTGTTCAACGGTATCGCTCGATACTAATTTTGGCGAACCGATACGTATCCAGTCTTCTTTACCGATTACTGTAATATCTGATCCGGTATCGTATTGTAGTGTCACTGTTTTGCCGAGTAGTGACGTCTGCACGTATTGTCGTTTACGTTTATCGGCCGCGGAGAGCGATTGAGACACGACACTTTTCGCAATCGCGGGGGACTCGGGCTGTTCCTGGACGCTAGCAACACTTGAAACGTTTGAGCGACATACCTTCGCGATATGGCCCTTACCCGAACACTTGTAACACACCGCTTCGCGGAAAGAACACTTTGCTCGCGGATGAGCGCCACCACAGCCATTGCATTTACTTGCGGATGATGGCTTGGCTTTCGACGTGTCCACTTCCGGTAGATTTCCGATATGATGCTTTTTTCTCTTTGCGTTTCGATTGCGCGATATTTAACACGGAAATTTGAGAATGCTTTGTCGGGTTCTCGAGCGTTTTTAATCCCGACGCGACGTTCATATAAGCTTCGAGCTCGGCGACGACATCCTTAAGAGACGCGGCTTGGTTCTTCTCGATGACGCGAAGCGCGATTTTCTTTAGTTCGTCGTTATCACTAGAGAAACAGAACGATTGCAGCAACAATAGGATACGAAGATTATCGTCAGTCAGTTTGGAACGGTCAAAATCGGCAGCATGACGATTGATACGATCTAGATGTTCCGTAATCGGGGTTGATCTGTCGTAACGATAATTAAGTATTTCTATGCGACGACGAGTAATAGGAATCTTGTCCCCAGCAGGTCAACTCCCATATGAAAATTCAGGCCGCGTTAGTTCATTCTGGTATATTGTCCCAGGTGGCGTTTACATCAATTTAACGGCTAAACCGTGTGTATATACATACACGTGGTCTATTGTAAAAAGTGAGCTTATTAATTATAGAGAAAAGCGATTGAAAGGAAATAAACTACATCGTGTGTGGAGCGTGTGAAGAATATTATCTGATAAGGTAAGTTTTATATAAACAATATAAATATATAAATATCGCAGCGCGACCGATAATAAAAGGTTATATGATTGCTTTATTTAGTTGTATGCTTTTATATATGTTGATCTTAAGGGTGTTGCCCTTCGGCCCGCTTTGCTGGAATCCGGATGCTGCGTGTCCACGTCGTGGAGGCAGGGAGACCAAGACGGTGACGCGGTCATCGGCGGATCGACGACGGTTCATCGCGACAAAGGTAAGGTATTTTAATGTTGTTTTGCATAAAAGTTTGTGAACAGAATTTTTGCTAATTATGTTCGCGTGTATGCCTAATAAGATGAGATAATAAAGACATATTTTTAAGTTTCTTATACTTTTGCAGTTTTCAACTTTAATCATGGTAAAAGTAAAGTGGTTTTGCATTGTACCAGGCTGTAAATCAAACTCAAAGGCTCCTGGCCACTTTTTTCCAAAAAATCCTACATTATCACAAAAGTGGAAAGAAATTGTAAACAATAGTATTCATTTCAATACTTCATCAGAGGATTTAAGAAAATATAGAGTGCACTTGCATTTTTTGCCTGAAGATTATATTTACTCTGTTAATCGTCGAATACTGAAACATAATGCAGTACCTAGTTTAAATATATGTAATGCACAGACAGTTAATACAGAGGTGAATGATATAAATACTACTGAGCAACATTCACAATTTGAAACAAGTATAACTGAGATACATTTAGAATTTGAAGCAAATACAACTGACAATGAGTTACATTTACAATCTCAAACCAGTCATGAGTGTAATGAAACTTCTACAAGTACAACTGAGCTGCATTTAGAATCTGAAACAAATACAACTGACAATGAGTTACATTCACAATCTCAAAATAGTCATGAGTTTAATGAAACTTCTACAAGTAATTTTATATGTGCAGAAACAAGTGCGTTACAAAACGATCAAAATAATATCGCAGATAAAGAAGTTAATCGTCCCAGTACTCCCAGTACACCAAGTACCTCAAGAAATATACTTAGTTCTGTTACAAGACAATGCCATTTAACACCAAGAGCACAAAAACTATATAAGAAAACTGTAAAATTAGCGAAGGAAAAAAACCAAATGAAAAGACAAATAATAGATTATAAAACACGCCTGAAAGATGCAAAGAAGTTTTCAAATACACAATTTTACAAAAAGTTCAATAGTTTAACTCCAACACAAAGATTGTTTTTTGATATGCAATTACGAAACACAAAGTATGCTCCAAAGGTAGATTTCAAAATATTATTTAATGAATTAAAATCTACATTAAAATCAACCTGCCCAGAACGAAGTTCACAATATTTGAACAATATATTTTTTGAATTATAATCATGCAATTGTATAAATTTGTAAATCTTTGTTATTTGTGAAAGACAGTTCGCGCAGGTTTTTTAATTTTGTACTCTTCTTTTTAGCAGATACAATCAATCATTGCAAAAATTTTATATTAGAAAAATTGTAAAAACTAAATCTATTTTGTTATTATTTGTGTATATAGGGAAGGAGATTTACGTTGGAAGAAAAAATTTTAGCACTATCATTGTATAAGCAATCCGGGGCTTGTTACAAATTATTATCAAAATTATTTGTTTTACCGAGTCCTACAACTCTGAAATATTTGTTACGAACTATTTCTCTACAACCAGGAATTAATAAATT